TTAGGGCTATGAAAGGCTGATGCCCATCAGAGAATAAAAACATCAAATCAGATGGAAAAATGTTTGATCTATTGAGGCAACAACATATGTATGGTTTGTAGAGCAACTCTCTTTTTCTATGAGAGACACTGGGATAGAACACTTGGTCAGCCCAGGTAGAAATGTAAAATTGAGTGCCATCAGAGTACTGTTAGGTTTGACAGTTTACAAATTCTCCCAATGGCTTCATCGATAGTAATTAGAAGCAAGGAGTGGGTAGAGCTCTGAAGGACCCACAAAGCAGGAATCTCTGACTGGAACTGACCCTGGAGAAAGGAGAAGCAATGTAATTCAGTACTTCCCGCTTCTAATCCCCTGAGCCAATCCAGGAAAATACCATGAACAATATTGGTCACTGAGAGATCAAGGAATGCCACAATGGATGTATTACCTCCATTCCAAGCCTGTCAAAAATCATCACAAATGCAGCTATCGCTGTTTTAGTACCATGGCAAGACCTGGATCCTGACTGGAAGTGGTCCAGACTATGCCCCCCCCTCCCCGAGCCCTCTGGAGCTGTAAACCTACCACCTTCTCAACTCTGTTTCCAGAATAGCAAGTTTGGAGACTAGATCGAGTTTTGTCAAGATCTACTGGGTCCAGTAATGGACTCCCTTTGATGGAGGTGGAAACCATCTATTTCGAATTAAGAGGAATCACCCCCTCTCACAAGAAGCATTCCCCATTGCCTGGACCCAACTACCTGCCACCTCTCAGGGGACCTATCAGTCAGCAGGGATAGGGATCAAATACAGGAGGCCAAAAACACAATTCCAAGGATGTCTACTTCATCAGGGCAAACAGGTTTCAACTTCTCTCATCTAACTGGGCAAGACTCTGCCTTAGGCAATTCCACAGGACCTGTACAGCTAGATTCCAATTCTGAAAGAATCTAAACAACTTTATTAAACAGCTGACTAGAATAATACAATGCTGAACAAATGTTACCTAGGAGGGACCAGGTTATCCTAAACAGGACCACTTACAGGCTCTCCGCAGACACAATATGGGCAGAAAAATAAAATGCTTCAAAATTACATGACGTTTCCCATCTTCTCATATTCAAACCCTATTAAATAATTAATCCAGAAATCACCAGTTCATTTTTATTAAATTTCAGCATAATGTCCATAAAGGGATTCCACTCTTTTAGAAAAGTAGTTATTTTTGCCTCCCTAATCCAAGTCAATTTAGACATTTATGCAAGTTCTCTTCACAGTCCATTTTTCCAATGTAAGTACAGTCTTTGTCTTTATCCAGTGGCATTTTAGCCACCTGATAGGTGGGCCTCTGCTGAATCACAGGAATCCGCATAGACACAATCCTATCCAAGGCCCATATCACCCACTCATTCCAAATGGCATCAAATGTTTCATCTGAACCATCAGGGACCATCCAAATAAGTGTTGTCTCCCTGTAGGGAAGTGCGCATCAGAGAACTCAAGTATCAGCAGAGAGTGATTTGATTTTACTACTTTTGTTTCACTTGTATACAAGTTTCATTTTAACCAGGTTAAATTAAAAATAATAAAATAAAATATCTCCTCACTTCAAATCATGTTGTCACTGCCTTGAAATAAAGACCAGATCTAATATAATGTCAGATCTAATCTAATACTTTCTAATGTAGGGCATTAATTTATGCACATTTGTGTACAAGTGAAACTGAGAAGAATGTATTTGCATTTTGCAAGTAACCTTATCTTGGTTACTTTCTCATCCTACTGTATCTAATCATGCAAGTCTCAAGTCCCACTGTATTTATATTCCCATGAAATACGTCAGGAAAGGAACCTTAAAAGTCCCATCTTTTCCGCTATATTAGATAAATGCTTGTTTTAAGTATCCATTCATCAGAGATCTGCTCTTCAACTCTTTCTTGTTCTGACACTTACTTAGTGAACTTACTTGGAACAACAGGTGTTTTTAAAGATGACATTTGATCTTTTTATGCATGCTGGATAGACAGAGTTTGGAGCAGCTTCTAATTTTAATATTATTACACACAAAACAGTGGTAGCTTGGCCTCCATAGGGTACTTGGTATAGGTCTACTTAAGGATTATTTATTTATTTGTATTTATTTGTATCCTGCATTTAATATTTTTACATTTAATTCAGTGGTGAAGACATCCAACATACCTTCCTTCTCTTATTTACCTCACATCAATCACCCTGTGTAGTGGGTTGGGCTGCAAGAGAGTGACTGGCCTAAAGTCACCTAGCTGGCTTTCATGGCTAAAGTAGGACATTAATTCATGGTCTTTTGCTTTTTAGCCTGGTGCCTTAACCACTGCACAAAACTAGCTTTCAATGACATCCCAATGGCATCATCAAGACAAGCCTGGCTGATCTGAATAGCTGAGGAAGCATGGACCTAGCTTTCTCATCGTTGTTAGACTTCTGTATTAGACTATAAGGAATCCCAGAACAATAACCTAGACAAAAAAGTGGGTGGGGGAACCTCAGTAGAAGACAAAGGCAGAACATTGCTATATTGTTGCTTGTCCAATGACACAGATATGTTCAGGTAATCACTAGTAATTGAGTTCAACTTGAAGAAGACTTTGCCTTACTAACACTAATGTCTCAAATAGCTTACAATCCTTTTTTTTTTTTTGCATGGGGTATAGTGTTATGTTTGATGGCCCAGTCCAAGTATTCAATTCTGTAGGAGAGAGACCTGATAAAAATGTCTGTGCTGTCAGAGGCTCAATTTGACAGATGAATTTTTCTGCATTGCTTCTACACATTCCCTTTGGCAGGTTTCTTCTGGTGTTCTCAAAATTCAGGAAACTCTGTAGGCAGTTTGGGCAACAACTGAGATTCTAACACATCACTTTACTACTTTCACGTACTAAACAACAAAAAGAGTGAAACCTCCTCCATTTCATAATACTCACTTTTAACCATAACTTCTCACTCAAACTGCCTAACTGGATCAAACTAACATGCATGAAATGTATATGCAAGTTGGTCTGGGATTTCAGCATTTGTAATATGCTTTTGCGTATACGTAGATTGCTTCATTTCTCTAAAAAAGGAAGGAACCAGTAAGCAGACTTCCTGAAGAGATGGCTTCAGGAAATAGTGATTTAGAAAGTTATCATGATAGTTTCCAACACTTAAGAGCACTTGTATAGGCTGGGCTTATTACTTGGCAGAATGAGATGGTACCAAGCCCAAGCCAAAAGCTGACATGGTGAAATTCAATCAAGTCTAATTCTTTATTTGCTTAAAAATCTTTCCCAGACTAAAACTGTAACAGTCTAACCTAATAGACATTTCCTGAGAGATTCTAGGCTACCCTAAACCTCTTCCATCCTCCCCATCCAGTTTGGGACTCTTAATTTGAGTTTCTTTTTGAAATCTGCTGTTTCCTCTTGGGAAACCATGGTGCTGTTGCTGGAATTCTCCCCTCCCTTTTCCAGGTGCATATTTCATCACTTCTATTCACATCAAGGAGCTGTGATGAAGGGTGAATAAATATATTTTTGGTTGTATTTTTCCTGGCAGGGAGAAGAAAGGTATAGAGTGGCCTTCTCCATCTCAGAGTATTCTGGTTGGCTTCTTGGCTGGATGCTGTTATTATGTGTTCCAGTTTAGGTAGCAATATTCAGTACATTGGTCGGATCCTGCAAATGTCTTCAGCACTTTACTATGAGCCAGATAAACACCTATCAAACCAAGGGAGACTAACTGGGACAAGAATAACTTCTTAGATTGAAATAATAAGCATTAAATTATAATGAAGAAGTAAGACCCCATGAGTAGTTTACTGTTCAAACAATAGAATAAAAGTTTGCCTTCAGATGTTCCAAATGTCAGGTCATAAGAAATGAATTCTAAAGACTTCTGTATAGTATGAGTCAGGGCCCTATTTTTTATTTTGATAATGTTAGAAAGAAACCTCTTCTCAAAACCCTATTCAGTTATTTTTCTGGCTTTTGCAGTTCCAGAAGATATTTCAAAAAACACTTTCCCGGTCATAATATATGCTAGAAAATTGTCTTTACAATAAAAAAAATATTGAGGTCTCCATATTATTTTATGATATCATGTACCCAAGACATAGGTGGGAATTTACCATGGCTGGCCTTTTTGAAAGTGCTACTTCATAGCATATAAGGATTATCCTTGCCTTGCACTTCAGAAATTCATTTTATTAATAGCCATTTTTTAAAAAAAATCACATGGTGCCCATTGTATTGTATGCCTGTTTCTATAATATAAGTTCATAAATTTACAAGTTATTATTAGCAACTTTCTGTGATAATATGACCAATTCGTCTCTAGAAGTTGGCTCCAGTGCTCACCCAAACATTGCATAGCCACCTCAAACCCAGGTCTGGTTGAGTAGACATCTTCAGGTTCCAGCTACTTCATTAAATGATAAAAACCACCATCATACCACTGCATCATAAGCCCCACACTTTGGGATTTGTGTTTGATGAACCAAGAAGCCAAGACTTCGCTTCATCGGACTGACTAGTTTGATTCATTTTGCAGATTTGACATGGGTCATAATGGATAGGGATCCTCATGGGTATTTGTCAGATATGCTCTAAGGTTCTTGTTTTGCAGTGAGCCTTATACCTATGAGATTTTCATTTTTGCTCTGTCACTTTTCGTGAGAGATTCTAGGGAGCTAATAGAAGGAATTTCAATTGTAAAGAGCCAAGAGATAAGAAACAAATCTGTTGGCAATTCATTTCATAAACAGTAACTAAATCCAAATGTCAACAAACCTGAGAAGAAATTATTCAATATGTTCTGAGAATTTCCATCGTAATGAATTCACTAATAAAGGAGAATTGGAAATTCCCTATTATTGCTATTAAAGTCATGTTATTGAAAATCTGTGTAATTCTAGCTTCCTTAATCATGTCCAACTGCATGGGACTTCACACTTGTTGCAAAAGGCATGGATTTAATGAAATACAAATTTTGATGTCTCATTAGATGGTATCATGACAATCTCACACGTCATGCAGCAGAGGCTCTTCTTCTTTCCAATGGCAGTGATGGAAGCTATCTCCTAAGAAAAAGCAACGGCAAGACTACTCTTTTTTCACTTTCTGTAAGGTATAGTAGTATGAATATTTCTTACATTATTTACATGTGAGCCTGCTCATGTTTTGAGTACAGTATCTGCTTTCTTTCCCACAACTGTCATATATGTAGCAGTTGGTACAAGAACCAAAGTCTTACTGTTGTATACCCAATCCTCTTGACTCTATCACTGATCAATTTTCACAAGTCAGTTGTGAAATGTAATTCATCAGAACACCAGTGAAATAGCTACAATTCAGGAACATTTAACTTTGACTGCAGTACAATTTTTTTTAAAAAATAGAATGATTTAAATATCCATAATTAATCAGTTAATGCAGTTAATGTTAGCCCATTTTGATAGGTTACACGTACTTACTTGGATTTCAGCTTACATGAAAAACATATTCAACTTACATTAAAAATAATGACTGTTTGCTTAGATTGGTTTTGTAAAATGCTGAAGTCTCAAATACATGCAAACTAGAATGACCTTTCATTTATTATAATTTTGAGAATTACAGTCTGAAACTCATGTTTTTGAAGTGATAATGCATTAGTTTTAATGATATTATATACTTACTCTTCCTATTAATGGATAAGAGATAACTGCATTTTGTTTAGCTGATAATAGTCAGATGATAGTCAGAGGTACAGAATAAATGGTGTAACAGATAGGCAAATCTCTGATTGTCTTCTCTTCAAATCTCCTCTTCTATTTGAAATGCTGAAAACAAGACCTGAAATTACAATTTTGTTCCTGCTCTTTTCATATGGGCTACTGAGAGAGAGCCTCAAAGCCATCAAGCTAACATTTCTCATAAGATCTGATTTGAAGATGAGGAACTGGAAGAGTAAACCAATAGTGTTCTCCAGTGGATACAAAGAAGCTACCTTATCTCAAAATCATTAAGAGCTTCATAATTGTTCCTATAAGACAGTTGAGCCACAAATAAATCAGCTCAGCTCACCAGTGCTGATTCAGTTACAGGTACATAGAAACATGCAACTGCTTTCAGTCTGGTTTGAAACTCATATATGGAAGCCATCCAACTTCCAAAGTTCCTGGTCAGCATGGCCAAGTGCAGTTCAACATACAGTACTTGGAAAACACCTGGCTAAGGAAGGCTTGTATACATCAAAGGAAAATAATAAGTGGCGTGATATAAGATGAAACTTAACTTTCTCACAATGAAGCTAGTGATCTTTTCTAAAGGGTGGATGATAGGGAGTACCATGGGCTTAGACTACTGGGAATGAAGGAAAACCTAAATGAGTTCCTTATGAAGATAAGGGAGTTTCTTGTTGCTAACTTTCTTATTTAATGGTCTTCTGGAACCAATACAAACAGTTTGTACAGTTAACCACTTCCTTTTCTTTTCTTTTTTTTTTCAGAGCAAAAGATTCTGTAAAGCATTTTCATGTGGAATACACAGGGAATTCATACAAGTTTGGCTTCAATGAATTTTCAGACTTGAAAGACCTGATTATGCATTTTGCAAATCAGCCTTTAATAGGTAGTGAGACAGGTAATCAAAAATTTTCTTTTTCTCTTTCTTTTGAAATATTGTATTCCGAAAATTTAATTTAAAGATTTTTATATTGTAGCGTTGCTTTAAACCAAAGCTCTTTTTTATTTCCTCAGATCAATCCTCTCCTTTGTAAGTTTTATAGATTTGCTGCCTCCAACAAAGTTCTTCGTATTTAAATTAATATTTAATAATTACTTTTTGCTTTCAGATGTTCAGGTATTACAACAATAGTTTGTTAGTCTATGTGGCATACTACAAAATGTTTCCTAATAGGATAAATGTTATGAACGTCATGGATTCAGGATGTGAGGAGAGTAGAGCACAAATTAGCATGGAAATTGGAATGCATTTAATTAAATGCTTTTCAGAAAAAGCTTTTTGGTTCCTTAAAGTCTCTTGTCATCAAAGGCAGGCCAAGGTAAAGAATGGCTTCAAGTGAAAAAGAAGCAAAACACCTTATAGGTAGTTCTATACTTATGGCCATTCCTTTAGTGACTCTTCAAAGTTATGGTGGCACTTTTCAATAACCAGGTCCTCTCACTCATGACCATCACCGCTTCCCCATAGTCACATGAGCAAGATTTATTACAGTTTTGCAAAGGGAAGAGTTGCAGAGTTGGATGATTCCAACACTTCCAATTCTTGATTGATTGATTCCAATTCTTCCTTTTTCTAGCAAGTGAAAAGGTTTTTTTATTCAATTCTGCAGCCTTTTTTCTGAAATGGATTTTAGCCTTGTGGGTGATACCTTTTTGTTTTTATGAATGTGCTAAAATCAAGGTGTGTTATGTTTTAAGTGTAATTTTGACCCTTATTTGTTGGTTGTCTAGTGGCAAACAATAGTATTGCTAGTGGAAAGAAAGAAAAAAGTTTAATTAAGAAATAGTTCTGATACAATAGTTGGAGAAGAGGTCAATAATGCAGTTAATTAAGTTAAATATATTTTTTTTCCTTCAGTATTTCTGTTCTCTTTCAGTTCAAGGTTTTTTCTCCTGCTGCCTTTTAACCAAAAGATAAAAGTTGCAGACACTGGCTGCTTGCATAACCAGTAGTTTTCCTATTAATAACTGTCTGTTTTATTAAAATCACTGGCATTCTTCGTTTTGCTGGATTGATTCCACAGAAGTCATTCCTTTGCAGTTCTTCTTTTGAAATCCCAAATGGTATTTTTCAAGAGGCAACTGGACTTTCTGGTTTCTGGCTCTGAGCTGAAGAAGCATTTTGGATGAGAAGTGAAACATCTTTAAAGAAAAACCAGAAAGTCCAGTTGCCTCTTGAAAAAGCACCACTGGGACAACCATGACCTAGATGATTGAGGAGCAATAAGCAATTCACAGGGTTTTTTGTTTTGTTCTGTTTTGTTTGATGGCAATATCACTTCAGTAAGGTTTTGTTTTAAGAGAATTCTCCCTTTGCCCAAGGGAGGTCCTACTTTACTTTTGTTCAAATATCTTTCAAATTCTTTGCTTTTCTATACTCAGGATCAGGCATTGGTACACTGGTTTCAATTTAAACACATTTGAAGATTCCCTGATTTATAGGGCACACGCAAATCAATGGAAATGTGTTAAGATGACAAACATCTGGATCATTCCAGTTGTTTTTCTTGTCTTCTTGTGTTTAAGTCTTTGTTGATCTAGATCACCAATTCGACAAAATAGAGTATATCTCCTTCGTTTATTCCTTACTGTCCTTCATTAAGAGGAAAAAACAACTAAAAATCCATTTCTTTATATTTCCAAAATACATGTAGTCCTCAACTTACGACCACAGTTGAGCCCAAAATTTCTGTTGCTAAGCAGATAGCAACCTATTTGTTAAGTGAGTCTTGCCCCATTTTATGACCTTTTTTGCCACTATTGTTAAATGAATAACTGCAGTTGTTAAATTAGTTTAGTTTAGTTTACTTTATTGTCATTGCACCTTGTACAACAAAATTAAATACCATCTTCAGTGTAAATTATGACTATGAAAATAAACACAAACACACATCCTTCACATTTTATACATTGAATTGAAAATCCTTGATATTGCATTATACAGTAGAATTTAATAGCGCTACTGCCCTGGGATAGAAGCTGTTTTTCAGAATATTTGTCCATGTTTTTTATTACCCCGTACCGTCTGCCAGATGGTAATAGCTCAAAAAAAGGGTTCCCAGGATGAGATGGGTCTTTGAGAATGTTTTGAATGTTTTCTTAAGGCAGTGGGAGCTATAAACCTCTTCCAAAGAGTGGAGAGGGCAACCAATGATCTTTTGGGCAATGACGTTAATCCACTAGAGTGTTGTCCTATCTGCCACTGTGCAATTGGCAAACCATACAGAGGTACAGTAAATTACAATACTCTCTATGGTGCAGCAGTAGAAGGTCACCAGCAGTTTTTCATTCAGTTGTTGTTTTCTGAGAAGTCTCAGGTAGTAAGATGGTTGTTAAGTAAATCTGGCTTCTCCATTGACTTTGCTTGTCAGAAGGTCACAAAAGGTGATTGCATGAACCCAGAACACGCATGCCATAGGTTCGCCATCACGGGTATAGGACTTCCTGCTTGAGCAGGGGGTTGGACTAGAGCAGGGGTGTCAAACTGGATTTCTTCAGGGGCCCGATCATCATTGTAATTCTCCTCCGTGGGCTGGCTGGTGGTGGGAGATGGGATGGATGTCTCCTGCAGCACCTTGCTGGCCAAAATGGCTGTCCAAGCCAAAAACAGCCCCCCCCCTCCCAGCACCCCATTTTGGCTGCCAGAAGCCGGTGGGACAGTCCTTTCTTATTTTCAGGCTGGCCCTGTGGGCCAGATTTAAGCACCTTGTGGGCCTGATCTGTCCCGCGGGCCTTGAGTTTGACACCCCTGGACTAGAGAAACTCCAAGGTCCCTTCTAACTCTGATATTCTGTTTTGTTACAAAATGCTATAACTCACTAATGGGGAAATGGTCTCAATCAAACCAACCCAAGGTTGCTTTTGATTTATAAACATTTGTTTAGTGAAGAAAGATACAATGGCAACTGTTACAACTGTTTCTCACACTTACGGCCATCACAGCATCCTCATGATCATGTGATTAAAATTTGGGCATTTGGCAGCCAGCTTATTTTTATGACAGTTGCATCTTCCTGGAATCATGTAATCGCCAATTGCAACCTCCTAGCTGCTTTCTGACAAGCAAAGTCAATGGGGGAAGCCAGATTCACTTATTGATCGCATGATTCACTTAACTGCAGTGATTCGCCTAACAACCAATGGCAAAAATGGTTGTAAAATTGGGCATAACGACTGCCTTGCTTAGGAACCAAAATTCTGGTTTTAATTATGGTCATAGCTTGAGGAGTAGCTTTCAATACCAACTTTGTTAAAGCAAGGCAGATTTAACTGCTGTTCATGTTTGAATGGGAAACCACTTGATATCCTATGAATAGTGATATAAATTGCCTAGTTAAAGTAATAACATCCCACCATTTGCTGATTATGGTATCATCCATTAGAATTTTATTTGTTCAAGAACCATAGAAACAGCCTTACTCTTTTAGAAAGGTCATCTATTCCAGTCCTAACTGACAGAAATTGTTTCTCAAGGCTTGCATCTTAGATATACTATATGTTATTATCTAGGAATCTCCACCTTATAGTTTACTGTTCATTCAGTTTTAAATATTTCTAATGCACCTTGTACCTTATTGTAGTTTTTCTTCACCACCTGCTATCCTGCCATCTGTTATATCTGTTAACAGTGAAGAAATTCACACTATATAATAGTGAATTTGATCTCCAGTGTTGAATGATAGACTTGGCCTATGGTTTACCAACTCCGAAATCAGATTCTGCTGGCTCTGTGAAACTCCTTTCATGTTCTTAAAATGGAAAGTGCCACCAGCTGGGAGATAGGTGTTGGACCTCATAATACCTATAAACTTGTTGCCTTCCATGTTATTTTTCTATATGAAGCAATGAAAAGTTAAGACCAGAAAAAACAAATACCATAATAGCCCAAACTCCACAGAGTAGGTTTAATAAGGGTCCAAGAATAATGTTGCAGGATCCAATGTGTGGCAATCACTTCGGTTCTCTTCAGATGGGCTCTAGCACAAATCCAAAAGATCAGAAGACAAAACTTCTGGTCCTGGTGACCAACCCAAATTGGATCCTGCATCAATAGATTATATTTCTCTTTCCATAGGCCGGAGAACAATCTGGAATGAAACTCTTTCGTGGTTACAGATAATGGATAATTTTATTTGAAATATCAACTATTTCATTTGATTTTGAGGATTCTATTATAACCCTAACCCTAGCCTTTATAATATGAAGCAAAATTTAAAAACACTTTAAAAAGGAACATTTAAAATATTTATTAAAAAATAAGCAAAAACATGACATCCTTAATTTCACAACATATGGACAGACCTAACCATAGTTTCAACTGAGAGACTGTAAGCATACCAGACCAAGATAAATCCAAAAATGAGAGGGAATTCCTGCATGCTGAGACAAATCAGTCATTGAAGATACACAGAGATAAACCAAATCTACACACCATTCAAAAGAGACAATAAAAAAGCTAAAAAGGAAACAAAACTACCAGAACACAGCCTCACCCAGATAAGCAGGGAGTAATACCAGACAATCAAGCAGAAAAAAGTACCCTAATCAAGGAACTTCTAAGGATACCCCCCCCCCCTCCCCGCCCCTGCCAAACATTTGCAAAGCAAACTACTGTGTATACACAGGCAGCAAAGTCCACACTCATTAGTACTGCTGATGTCAGGTAACAAAATGTCTGCAAGCGAAGAACCAAGATTAGAGGGCATCGAGGACTCTATAATAAGCAAGGTGTCCTTTGAGTCAAATTCAGCCGGTGATTTCATGGAGATGCCACGTAGTTTTCTTGGCAACAATCTAGAAATGGCTGGTCACTACCTTTTTCTGGGTTGCTTGTTCAATTCCTAACTACCCGACAACTGTAAGATTTCCTGGTAGTCTGTTCTGCAAGTAGTACATTGTTTAGGGTTTAGGATAAGGTAAGGTATCTAATGTACTGCACCTTGTTGGGGCTTTATTTATTATTTAGCTGGGAAGAAAGTCCATGCCAAAATACGTCAAAGTGCAGGGATACTTCCCTGTAGGTTGACATATTTTGCAGATTGTACTTTTTAGATTGGTGAGGCTGAAGTCCAGAATAGGGCTCAGGTGAATCTGAAGGAGATCTCAGTAGGTTTTTGGTGAATCTGAGATAAAGGGAGAAATGTAAAACAAAAATAGACAAATATGTTTTGATATTTTGTTAAGTTATCGAAGTGTTTAATGTTTATATAGCAGGATGCTAGATTAGATCTAGGTAAGTATAGTAAGTGATACGTTGTAATGGCTTTTTAAGATCATTTTTCTTTCTTTTTTTTGCGTGCATCCTGTTACGTATCTAAGGATCTTCTCAGTCATCTAGGTCATGGTTGTCCTAAAGATGCTTTTTTGAGAAGCCTTCTTGGAACTGCTGAAAGGACTGTGTTGTAGACTGGAGATAGATGATGTCATATCCCTCCCCCTCTGTTGAAAGAGGGCTGTTTAATTTTGATATAAATGGGCTCTTTGATCCCTCTTTCAAACCAGCAGTCCTTCTGTCCAAAATGTGGATTTTGCTGTATTCAAAAGAGTGGCCTTTGCCTTTTAAATGCATATGGACTCCTAAATCTTGTCCTGATGGGTTTGTTCTCCTATGTTGTGCCATGCGTTTATGAACTTGGATGAGAAGCGAAATGTCTTCAAAGCAAACTTAGGAAGTCCAGTTGCTTCCTAAAAGGCACCTTTGGGACATCCTGTTATGTAAGGGAAAAGGCTCTGAATTCACTTTTATGGATACTTAGGGTTTTCTTTCTTATAGGGACTTTGATTGTATTGAAACATCCATATCCCAAGAAAGTAGAAGAGCCTTCCATTTATGAATCTGTGCGAGTCCACACGGCTATGCAGTCAGGAAGAACAGAACTTGACCTCATTCCCAATGCTCCATCGGTGAGTTCCTATTTGGACAATTGGTTGGAGAAAAGAAAGCTTTCCATAGTTTACTATGGAATTAGGACAAGATTTTGATTAGAGCTGAAGTGAATCCTTTAGAAGAAAGCATCCAGGCTGAAAATTCTTGGACTTGAAGACTTGGCAAATCTGGAAGGCATCAGTTTGGGAAAGATGGTCTTAGTGAGAAAAAATTCTTCCTCCAAATGGTGCATTTCAGCAATTAAAGGAAAAGGGAAAGGTTTCCCCTGTCCAGTCATGTCTGACTCTAGGGTGGGGGTGCTCATCTCTATCTCTTAGCCAAGGGAGCCAGCATTGTCTGAAGACACTTCCATGGTCATGTGGCCAGCATGACTGAGACGGAATGCTATTATCTTCCCACCAAAGTAGTACCTATTTATCTACTCTCATTTACATGTTTTTGAACTGCTAGTTGGCAGGATTTGGGGCAAGTAATGGGAGCTTTCTCCATCATGAAGTGGTTGTGTCTTGAACTTGGTCAGTCAGCTTTCCAGCAGACCAGCTCAGCATCTTTAACTGCTGAGTGATTGCACCTCCCTTCAGCTATTAATGTAACTTATAGCATACAGATCCATGAACATGAAGGCTGGGATCATAAATGGTCCAAATTTTAAACCTGGTTAACAAAACACAACCACTGTGTTTATATTATATGGTATTCTCAATATTACGGTTCAATGGGATATTTAATTCATACAATATTCTAAGTGAATGGCTGGGTTTCCTTATGATGCACTTAATTGCAGATAAGCCATTTTGCCCTAACTGGATGTTTTATATGAATGTTGATTGAATTTGATAAATCATATTAATTTTGATGAACAAACAGCTGGCTAGTGTTTATGTTTGATCCCTTTACAATATATATATTTGCACATTATAGTCAGCACCCACTTTAATACGTGTTCCCGAGGAATATTTCACCTATTTATTGGCAAAATAAATTTTGCATAGTTGTACATTGAGATGAACCTTTTGGGAAGTGGTAGCAGATAACTCATTTATAAGAGAAAAGGAACAATTACAGCTGAAAACCACCAAGTTCTTTTGCTGTGTCAGCCACATCAAGACTCTGAAAAGAGTCAAGTTTGAGATGAAGATCTACCTGCCTCCTCCCTTCCCCTATTTACCCCACCCCACATCCTTCTCAACCATCCTAATAAACTTTCCTGTGTTTCATTACAGTTAGGGACTAAAGAAGGTTATCTAACAAAGCAAGGCAAAATAGTTAAGGTAAGCAATCTAAAAGTTGTTCTATTGTTTATTTTCTTACACATTAAAAATCAAACATGCTAAGGAGCAGAGCTTGAAAATTGTATTGGGCATGTGTGACCAAAATAGGATCTGGAATACATGTTTGTATAATATCCAACAATCGCTGTATTGTTAAGAAACTTACTTTTCCTTGGTATAGCAGCCTCTAGGCAGATTGTACTGTCACCCCTACAATCCGCTGCCAGTATAGTTATGATGGGAGTTATAGTCCAACGGCCCTGGGGGACACTATCTTAATGAAAGCTGTATGAAGTAGAAGCCATATGAAGCTGCTTTTAGTAGCTCATTTTGAAAAGATAGCAAACAATATATTTATTTTTAAAATGCAATTTTCTTGCAGAGAGGTACTTCTTGGATTTTCACTTCAAGTGCTGAGAAATCCAGATTGTTATTTTGAATGGTTGAGTTATGTGATTAAAATAGTTGTTATTGATTATAATTAAGACTTAATTTTAGATCCAGCTTTCTATCAAATTTAGAGTTACAGTATGTTCAAGGTTTTGGCTGAATTGACTTCTGAATATTCTCAAATCAGAGAAATAAGTAACCAATCTCAGCCTCTTTCCATGCTCTTTATGTGTTTACTGGCAAGATTACTGATAATTTTTCTCTAATCTCCAATCTCACTTGAGTCGTGTATGGCCTCAATCTCACTTCTCCTTTTTCATGTAGATTCATCTGTTGTCTTTTCCTGTTCACATCTCATGTCATGTAGGAGGTTGCAACACCCTTTTCCTTTTCACTTACTAAATCTGCCTGCCTTGTCTTCCTTACTTCTAGAATGTTCTTCTGAGCCATCCTTCCATTGCATTTCCTTTTTTTCCAGTGCGACTTACTCTTCTCTAACCTGGTACCTTCCAAATTTAGTATTTTAGTATTTATTTGATTTGTCAATCACTTACAAGATATAGGTATAAGAATAAATATAGTTTTGAATACATGAGATAGATACTTATAAGAAAAATAAAAAACCAATAGGACAGGGATGGTAGGCACGATTGGTGCGCTTGTGCACGCCCCCTACAGGCCTCTTGGGAAGGGGGTGAGGTCAATATTAGACAGTCTAAGATTAAAGTTTTTGGGGTTTGGGGAAGAAACCACAGAATCTGGTAGAGTATTCCAAACATTGACCACTCTGTTGCTGAAGTATTTTCTGCAGTCAAGTTTGGTGCGATTAACCTTGAGTTTGTATCTATTGTGTGCTCTTGTATTGTTATGATTAAAGCTGAAGTATTCATTTGCAGGTAGGACGTTGCAATGTATGATTTTATATACTACATTTAGATCGGACCAGAGGCGGAGTAGTTCTAAGTTTTCTAGGTCTAGAGTTTCAAGTCTGGTGGCATAAGGTATTCTGCAATGAGTAGAGGAGTGGAGAACTCTTCTTGTGAAATATTTCTGGACTTTTTCAATTGTGTTAATATCAGATACATGATATGGATTCCATATCATGTACCTGATAAACGAATGTGTTTAGCGCCTTCCAGATTAGGGAAGGCTACTCTGTAGGTTTTATTTCGCTGTTTCTGTTTTATCTTGTTAATGCAAGTTGCATTTCCTGTCCATGTACAGTCACTCATCCAGTATGGGAGATGCTATGTGTGTTAGATGCAGGTAATCTTCAACTTACAACCATTTGTTTAGTGATCATTTGAAGTTCCAACAGTGTAGACAAAAAGTGACTCATGACCATTTTTCACACGTACAACCATTGCAGCATCCCCATGGTCACGTGATCAGAATTTGGATGCTTGGCAACTGATCCATTTCTATAACTGTTGCAGTGTCCTGGGGTCATGTGACCACCTTTTGCAACCTTCTGACAAGCAAAGTCGATAGGGAACCCAGATTCATATTCACTAAATAACACAACTGCAGATATTCACTTAACAACTGTGGGAAGAAACAATGTAAAATGGGGCAAAAATCATTTAACAACTGTCTCACTTAACAACAGAAATTTTGGGCTCAATTGTAGTTGTAAGTCGGGAATTACCTGTATCATGGTGAGGAAGGGAAGAAAGAGAAGGTGTTTTTCCCAGTACATGTTCCTTCTTTTGTATTTAATTTTTTTTCAATTTCCCTTCTCTTTATTCTTTTAGAACTGGAAAACTAGGTGGTTTACACTGCATAGGAATGAGCTGAAATACTACAAAGATCAGACGGTGAGTTGTGTTTTACTCTGTTGCTTGTGAGAGCTAACACAAAGCAATCAACAAGGTACTGGAAATACTCTTTCCAAAATAGCTACTGTGAAACTCAGTGCCAAGCAAGATGGACTTCATACTCACTTCCATTTTTATTCCATAGTGTATCAGCTCAGTTAATGGGCTACACATACATGGCACCTCTAATTTATCAATGACTGTGTTTCTTTTATAGCAGAGTCAGGAAATGCAGACGGCACATTCCTCCCTAGCCCCCAAATTCTTTCCTGAAAGTTAGTGGTAAAAATTACTTTTTGTGTAGTAATTAGGCATTTTGGACACCAAAATAGTCTCTTCAAGGTTTCAAGGTTTAATCATATTTGCAATGTACACCTCAACTCTACAAAATAAAATGAGGTTGCCCTGCCCACTGGTATCATCATCATAATTGATGAGATGCAGGTCCTGTGGGCTTTGGAGGCCAATAACAATTTTAATGCATGGCCCAAAAATGTGAGCTGCCCCTCCTTTATAGAAATGTACTCACAACAGGCCTAAAGCTATAGCAGGATAAACTACATTCATTGCTATTGGAGGAGAAGGAAAATCCACCCATGTTAGATTTCTTTTTCTAGGGCAGAAGTGTCAAACTCTATTTCATTGAGGGCCACATCAGGGTGTGTTTGACCTTGGGGGTGTAGCCAGCTTGACATCACTTGTGTCGGGGGCGCCTGAGGTGGTCCAAGCACTCTGCCAGCGAAAACTGGCTCCCAACCTCTGTTTTTGGTCACGATAGTCTCCTGCTGCCCCTCTGCCAGTGAAAACAGAGGTCAGGTGGCTGCGTGCAGAGGGCAAAAGGAGGCAGTCATGGCCAAAAACGAAGCCTGGAAGGCTGTGTGAGGCCCTGCCAAGGTGTTTTCACTGGCAGAGGCACCACGGGCTGGTCCTTCACTGTTTCCAGGGTGACCCCACAGGCCAGATTTAAGCACCTCATGGGCTGGATCTGGCCCATGGGCCTTGAGTTTGACACCCCCTGTTCTAAGGTCTTTTTCCTTCCAGTTGTACTACGTCTTTTGCAATGTATTAAATCAAACTCACTAGTTCTGGGGTGTCAAACTTGGTTTCATTGAGAGCTACATCAGGGTTGTGTTTCACCTTGGGGGCTGAGGTGGGGGTGGCCAGTTTCTGTCACTTGTGTCAGGGGCACCTGTGGCAGCCCAAGCACCCTGCCAGCAAAAAAAAAGGATTCGGTTTTCAGCCGTGATGGCCTCCTGCAACCCTCTGCCAGTGAAAATGGAATTCAAGTGGGCCACATGTACCCCCTCCCCAGCTCTGTTTTTGCTGACAGAGTCACTGCAGGCCAGTCATTCGCTGTTTCCAGGGTGGCCCTGTGGGTCAGATCTAAGCACCCTGCAGGTCAGATCTGGCCCCCAGGCCTTGAGTTTGACACCCCTGCACAAGTGAGTGCAAAATAATCTTTGTCTGGAAGGCCTTATTTACTGTTTTGTTTCTTACCTGATATCTATGATGGGGGCAAGGTGGGTAACCATTTTAAATGATATTTTAAACTTTAAAATATTTTAAAATATTTTAAATTTTAAACGAGGGGGCGCGCATAAGCGCACCAACGTGCCTACCGTCCCTGTCCTATTGTTTCTTTTCTTTTCTTTTTAATTTTTCTTATATGTATCCATGTATTCATAACTATGTTTTTACTTATACCTATTATCTTGTAAGCAATTGACAAATAAAAATAAATAAATTAAAAAAATAATAACACAGAGCAATTGTTTCAAAACTAACATTTTTTCAAGTCCACAGAGCCAATCAGAGCACTTGATTTAACTGAATGCTCAGCAGTGCAGTTTGACTATTCCCAAGAAAAAGTGAATTGCTTTTGGTAAGTTGAAGCTTAAGTACAACTCTGGAGTATCCTAGCATGTATTTTCTTTCTTTAACAGTTTCTCAGTGCTATTCTGTGTAAACTTTGTTTTCTTTTCTTCTTCACCACACTGCTAACCAAATTACTGTTATCTCTCATGAATTCAATTAAGACGTTGTGCTGGTTTTCCTTGATTTGTCAGTTTGCCATCAGAACTAATTGCTTGCTGCTCTCCTTTTGTTGTTCTTTTCTGAACAGCTTTAGAAAAGGGCTGTGCTTGAATCCCAAGAATTCTAGTTTAATTAGGAAAGAGCAGCATGCGCATGTATGTTATTTGATTGCTTAGCTCCACTTGCACATACTGTATGTGTTGCTTAAGACTGAAACAAAAAGCTGCATTTTTAGCCATCCTAACAAACAAGCTGAACAGCAGCTTCCATAATTTACTTGTTCCTACTTGTCCTTTGGAATACACTGGCTTGGGCCAGAGTTGTGTTTCAACTCAGTGGAGTTACTTTCTTTGAATTCTGTCAATCTACTTTAATTATAACAAAATATGCATTCAATTTTACAGGAAATCCTCTTATAGTGACCACAATGGTTACCAATAACGCAGATGTTTGGCAAAGCAGCCTTTAAGAGAAACTATAATAATTTTTATAATCTTACATCAGCTTTCTTTGCTGAAAGTTGTAAAAGTGAGGGTTGTTTGTAAAGTTATTTTTTCATCACCAATATGACTGCAAATGTTTGCAAATGAGGCAGTCACTAAATGAGGATTACCTGTACTTAAAAGAAAAAAGCAGCCATACCTTCTGCTATTTCTCAGAAATAAAATGTAGAGATGCTTGATATTTTCCCCAAGCTGGAGCCCTTACCCGAGCATGTTGATTAGGCCTGATGAGTATCATCTCTGGAAGGCTGTGCATTTGGTAATATCTCTGATTCACATTGAATGGAGCACTTTGGATGCATCTTTATTGCTGACAAGTTTTTCTCTGGTTTGTTTTTAACCATTTTTTTCATGCTATTATTTTATTTATCATAAGGCTTTGGTCAAATTTCAAATATTTACCTCAATTACTTTCTATTTCTTCTAAGAAGAAAAGTAGGATTATTTTTTTAAAATAAATAATATTTTTAGCTTCAGTTTCTTTGGGAAAATGGAATATTCATATTGGAGATGACTATGGTTTCCTTATATTTGTGACACAGAATGTTTATAATTTTATATTTTACAGTTTAGTATTTCCAATGCGAACGTATTACATGTTTGCAAAGACTGGAGTAGAAGCCGATGAGTGGATTAAAATATTGCAGTGGAAATTGGTAAGGACTTGAATAGAATTAAACGAGTAGCAATATGGTGACAAATAATAGTTCATGCTGACAGTGCTGATTTCTCTAATTTAATCCCACAATGGTAGCCTTGGAAATATTTAAAAAGAGAAAATTACACCACACTTACTCATGGACATTTAAACATTCCCTACTCTGTTTCTTTGCTTATACAGGTAGTCCTTGACTTACAATCATTCATTTAGTGATTGTTCACAGTTACAACAGCACTGGGATTATCATTTGTAACCTTCCCAGGTAGCTTCTGACAACAAAGTCAACTAGGGAAGCCAGTTTCGCTTAATGCCGCACGATTCACTCTCCTGCAGTGATTCACCTAAGAATAGCAAAGGTCATAAAATGGGGTGTGATTCACTTCACCACTGCCTTGCATAGCAACAGAAGCTCTGGGCTCAACAGTCGTAAGTCAAGGACTATCCGTATGGGTTCCAAGTTCAATCCTTCTTAACTCCAGATAACAAACAGATGTTAACAGCAACTACACTCTGTACAAACACCACCAAATTAGATCGCCCAAGAATGTAACTTGATATACGGTAATTTCTTATGTTCTTTTTCCAAAAGGAAATGAAACTGTACTAAATGTTAGGGTCCAATGCTTCTATGCATGTCACAGAGCACACTCAACTTCACTTTTCTTTGTAGTGTGTCTCTGCTGTCTTTTGGAGCCTAGTTGGTGCAGGTGATTGAATCATAATGAAATTCACCCCCCTCACCTCCCACCCCCCAAAAGCTGTTATTTGGACTTTTAAGTGATCCTTTAATACTGAACAATGGTGCTCAGTGTGAGTAGTCACATGAATTAAGGCTTTATGATGCAGGAACAGGCTTTTAGTGAATGAGAAGGGTAGTATAGGTGAGGAATTGATTTGGATTAAATGCTGAATGGAGAATCTCAGCTCTGGAAAAAACTGTGATTTGCCTTTCTGGTACGAATGAGAAAATAGGCAGGAGGCTAAATTTGCACTAGTTTACTTAAAATAATATTTGAAATCTTTTGATCTTTGAAATCAGCAGGGGTATGAGATTATGGCAGCACCAAGCAGAATTGTTGCTTTACATTTTCCAAATAAAATATATAAAATGGCCTAATAAAAAGCTAAACTTGCTTTAGTGACTAATTTTAAAAGAAAAAAAGTATACATCGAATCGGTAAGAGTTCAGCAAATATAATTATTCGGTCTGAGAAATAAAAAAGGGTCGTGAAATGCTCAAAGATTTGGGGGAATGATTTGAAGGGAAATATTCTTAAATTCAAATAACTGAGTGGTGAATAGTCATTTATATGATAGGACCTATTTTCTTTTTCAATTTCTGTTATGCTCCCGGCCTTCTTTTCCCTAATGCTGATATCTTGGTATCTTATCAAACTATCCTTTAATCTTTATTCAGTCAATCATGCTTAAAATATATAAAGTTGAGAATTATTGCCCCTCTTGCAGTGTTGTTGGTTTAGTTTTATTTACGCAGCCATAATAAGGGAATCCCAGTGGCTTACATCTATAAGACATATTGAATATTTGCTGCAACAATAAAAGTCAGTAATATAAACAAATATCAATATAGCAAATACAGATGCAAAGCTAACTGCTTTTCAGTTCCTAGATGCCCTTCACAGGACTTGCATTTTCACTCATTTCCAGGTGATGAGGGTGGCTAAGCTTTTCTCTGAAGGAAAGCTTTTCCCAAACATGGCCTCTGAGCAGCCAATCCAGCAATAACAATATTGTGGTGATGGCAACCTTATTCTAACATGAGACCCATTGCATTCTGAACAAATTGTACTTTCAAACAGATCTTCTAGGTGGGCTATAGTTCTAATTATTGCCAGTTACCATATACTACAAGGATGGGCAACTATATGATCTGTGGATTTCAACTCCCAGAATTTCTGAGCCAGCTAAGAATTCTGGGAGTTGAAGTCCACAGGTCGTAAAGTTGTCATAGTTGCCCACTCCTGATATATCTGCCTATTGTGTATGATATATATTAGGGGTGTCAAACTCATGGCCTGCGGGCCAGGTGCATCATGTGCTGGTTCCATCCCTGTCTGGTTTAGCGAAGGGGAAAAAACTCCCGATACGTGACAATGCCAGTTTGACACCTCTGATATATACTATAGTGAACTGATTGGAGATGATGGGAGATGTAGCTTAGCAATATGCAGAGGGTTATCAGAAGCTCTTAAATTACATGGTATTTTAATTTGCTTTTATTTACAAATTAATTTCAACAACAAATATTTTCTCGCCTTTACTTTTTTTTTTCCTAGTCCCAGATAAGGAAAAAACGCCAGAATGATGCCACACTCAGGCCATAGTAGTTTTGGCTACAAATACTAACTGTGCAGAAACCAACCTTGTTTCATATTCATACGCCTTCAGATTCGTTAATCAGCATTAAGAAGGGCTGCACCTGATCAGATCAGAGGTTTTTAAGCTCTGCAGCTGCCGACTTGCTGACAACTGATTTCTAGGAGATTCCTGAACACTCTGTTAAAGCAGAAGACCTTGGAAGATGGATATTCACCTATTCAACACTTCATTATTCTGGATATGCTCAGTGGTTACTGGCATTCTGTATTTGCCTTTGCTGCCAGGTTTTGACCAGTTCTTTCTTATGTAAGCAGTTTCAGTCAAAGTTTCATAGCATGAACCTGAACTCACTCAAACCCACTCACCTCTGGCTGCCATTCCGTATGCTTCAAACCATTTACCCACTGGTCTATTAAGACACACTTGCACAGAGTTTTTTTAAAAAATAGTTTTGATTTCATCTGTGGCTTTGATTGGGGTTAAGAATCGTCTGTTCACACTTCAAAATCATTTTCTCAGAACTTCTGTAGTATTGACTTCCCTGGTGAGCAATCGTTATAGATAATCTACTGCTAGTAGGACACATTTCTACGGGCAAGTAAGATTTTTTTCAAATATTGGGAGAACAGGTAGCCCTCAATTTATAACCATTTTGTTTAGTGACTGTTCAAAGTTAAAATGGCACCGAAAAACATGACTCATGACCGGCTGTCACACGATCGTAGCATCCCTGTGGTCCCATGATCAAAATTTGGGTGCTTGGCAACTGGCATGTAGTTATGACAGCTGTATTGTCCCAGGGTCATGTGATCACCATTTGTAACCTCCTCAGCTGGTTTGGACAAGCAAAGTCAATGGGGGAAATTCAGATTTACTTAACAACCATATGATTCACTTAACAGCCACAGTGGTTCGCTTTACAACTGTGGTAAGAAGTAGTGCAACGCATTTAACAACTGTTTTGCATTGCAATAGCAATGTTGGACTCCATTGTGGTCGTAAGTCAAGAAATATCCGTATATTGTGACAAATGAAATGCTACTTCATAAGTCAGTTTCGGGGCGGAAAAGCTGTTAGGACTATGCTTTCTCATGGCTGCCTTCTGTGTCCCTGGCCCTCATTCATTAGTGACTGTACTTTGTCACTGATGGCGGCTGCTTTAAATTTATTTCAAAGTCTCAAAATGCCACAATGGATATTCTCCATGCAGACAAATCAGTGTATCTGTTTCCCAAGACACGGCGAAACTGCACATCTCAAAATATACGTAGATGGTAAGATGTAGCTTCAGCTACACTACACTGTTTAAATATATTTGCTGTATAGTAGAAACTATGGTTATCTATTGGAAGCTTTATGCTGAATACACATCTAATATACCTATTCATATCCTGGTTCAGCAATAGATTTTCTGCAAATATTCGGCATACTTAAGTATAAAGTCACGTGAGAGCATACCTTACTTGCTAGATCATAAGAGACCTGTAAAATCAGATACATAAATCTGCATAGCATTTTAATAGCTCCAGTTGTCAGCTAATGTCTTTGGAAGGATGAAATAAAATTTTCTGTTAGTGTATGCATTTGAAACATTGTGATGTTCTATGCCACTAACTCAAATCTATCCAATATAATTTTAGAGGCCAGACAACTTGGGTTTAAAGAAAAGTAGCACAACAAGAAATAGAATACAACACAATACATATTAGGGAACAAATTGGCATTCATGTACAGATGAAACTCCAAAAATTAGAATATCGTGCAAAAGTTCACTTATTTCAGTAATGCAACTTAAAAGGTGAACCTAATATATGAGATAGACTCATTACATGCAAAGCAAAATAGTTCAAGCCGTGATGTGTCATAATTGAGATGATTATGGCTTACAGCTCATGAAAACCCCAAATCCACAATCTCAGAATATTAGAATATTGTGGAATGGTTCAATATTCTAGGCCCAAAGTATCCCACTCTAATCAGCTAATTAAGCCATAACACCTGCAAAGGCTTCCTGAGCCTTTAAATGGTCTCTCAGTCTGGTTCAGTAGGAATCACAATCATGGGAAAGACTGCTGACCTGACAGTTGTGCAGAAAACCATCATTGACACCCTCCATAAGGAGGGAAAGCCTCAAAAGGTAATTGCAAAAGAAGTTGGATGGTCCCAAAGTGCTGTATCAAAGCACATTAATAGAATGTTATGTGGAAGGAAAAACTGTGGAAGAAAAAGGTGCACAAGCAGCAGGGATGACCGTAGCCTGGAGAGGATTGTCAGGAAAAGGCCATTCAAAAGTGTTGGGGACTTTCACAAGGAATGGACTGAGGCTGGAGTCAGTGCATCAAGAGCCACCACACACAGACGGATCCTGGATATGGGCTTCAAATGTCATATTCCTCTTCTCCAGGCACTCCTGAACAACAAACATCAGAAGCATCTTACCTGAGCTAAAGAAAAACAGAGCTGGTCTGTTGCTCAGCAGTCCAAAGTCCTAGGGTGTGGAGGAAGAATGGAGAGGCACACACTGCAAGATGCTTGAAGTCCAGTGTGAAGTTTCCACAGTCTGTGTTGATTTGGGGAACCATGTCACGTGCTGGTATTGGTCCACTGTGCTTCATTAAGCCCAGGGTCAACACGGCCATCTACCAGGAGATTTTCGAGCACTTCATGCTCCCTTCCGCAGATGAACTTTAGGGGATGCCGACTTCATTTCCCAGCAGGACTTGGTACCTGCCCACACTGCCAAACCTGGTTCAATGACCGTGGGATTACTGTGCTTGATTGGCCAGCAAACTTGCCTGACCTGAACTGCATAGAGAATCTATGGGGCATTGCCAAGAGAAAGATGACAGACATGAGACCAAACAATGCAGAAGAGCTGAAGGCCGCTATTGAAGCATCCTGGTCTTCCATAACACCTCAGCAGTGCCACAGGCTGATAGCTTCCATGTCACGCCGCATTGAGGCAGTAATTGCTGCAAAAGGGGCCCAAACCAAGTATATATACATATGCATGCTTATACTTTTCAGAGGTCCAATATTGTTCTATGTACAATCCTTGTTTTATTGACTGCATGTAGTATTCTAATTTTCTGAGATTGTGGATTTGGGGTTTTCATGAGCTGTAAACCACAATCATCTCGATTATGACAAATCATGGATTGAACTATCTTGCTTTGAATGTAAGTCTATCTTATATATTAGTTTCACCTTTTAAGTTGCATTACTGAAATAAATGAACTTTTGCACGATATTCTAATGTTTTGAGTTTCACCTGTACATGGCATTAAATTACTATTTAATTAATTTTCATTAATTACTATTTAGAATTAATACCATTTAAGAGTTCCAAAATATATACAGCCAACTATGGCCCTCACTTTTGTTAACATTTTCTTGTATTTTTTAAATTTGTAAAACATGTTTTCTCATATGTTTTATTATTTAATATTTTTATGTTTACCAATAGGAGTATTTCAAAGCTACACTGTTGTCAGTTTGTAAGAACAAGTGAATGAAGGATCGCACAAATATGTATTGGGAACAAATGTATCATATTTTATATTTTTATTATAAAATTTCTAATAAACCAGGAACAAAAAGAAAATACAATTTTAGTTATGCAACCAATAAGACAATATTGACAATACAAATACTTTCAAGCTTTACATAACTAACCTTCCTTGCTCAGTGTGGGCTCTGAGGCTAGGGTTAGGGTACTCCTCTTAATTCAAATGAGATTTCGGATTTTTTTGGGGGAAAAAAATACTTGTTTACTCTCTTGGTTCAATGTTTCTTAACTGTGACAAATTCCAAATCATAATATGTAAAAGTTAGAATGGATCTTGGACATCAGCTACTTGTTCTCAATCTTGGCAATCTCCAGAGGTGTACATTTCAAATTCTGGATTTCTCCATAATAGCCATCTGGCTAGGGAATTCTGGGAGTTGAAGTTTACACATCTGAAAGCTGCCATGATTGATAAACAATGCTCTGGTCTAGACTCCACCTATATGCCTGATCTGTTCTTCACTTGAAGACCATTTGTTAGAGTGCAGTCATATATGTAGCTGTTAATGTCCTGTCAAGTGGCTTTCTTCCATATATAGAATATTCCTTTTTATGTGTTATGATTCTTATACTTTCCAACTTTCAAAATTCTTTCTCTCATTTAAAAAATACTCTGAGTTAAGTTTCCCTGCCTTTTTTCTCAATCCAAGGCAACAATACTGTACAAATCAACATACTGAGATTAAAGACAGCAATAATGTTGCTTTGCATCTATCTCTGTGATAATGATCAGACTATACATCTTGCCTTTCTTTTATTCAGATTTGCTTAGGAACATACAAAGCCAGATAAGTCAGCAAAGTATCATAATTACATGTATTCAAAACATCAGATTTACCAAGAATACAGAAAGAGAATGCATTGATTAATTTGAACTCTGCAAAAACAACTAGCATGTAGCTATTTGTTTACAAATAGCTACCTTGAAGTTTAAAATTCTGTTATCCAAACAAAGAACCATTGATTGCATATCATTTTTCCAATAATGTTCTTCTTCTAAGCATAAAGGAAGATTTGACTGTAAAATGCATGTTTGCACTAGTCTCCATTTATCTAAACAGAGGCAACATATTGCTGGTAGAGTGGAAAAGTTGTGGATGGCATTTTATACACAAAAAGTATTTTTTCTACTATGAAATATGTGCTAGCATGACGTTAACTCCATGGGAGTTGTTATGCTCACTAATATACCCAGCAGCCTAAGATATACAGGAAAAGCTACAGCCCATTTATCCCAATCTTACCTTATTATCCAGTACAGTTTTTAACATATAATTAAGAAAAAGTGACATTTTCTCCAAGACATTCATTGTACAGTGTGAAAATGACTGAATCTTTCCCTGTTTCATATTAAACCCTTGCTGTGCTCTAGACATGAATACTGAGTTAAGAGACTTCCACCACTTGCCACAGCTCTTCAAACAACGGAGCCAGCTCTTTTTCCAGACTTACAATCAGACCTACGTAAAGATAGGCAAATAAGATGAGATATAGGAATGAAAAAAAAGTAAAGGAAGATTTAAATTCCACCTTAACCTATTGTTTTAGAAGGGCAATCTCACAACTTACACTATGCTGGCTCAGGAATTCTGGGAGTTGAAGTCCACAGGTTGTAAAGGTTGCCCTTTCCATAGTTGCCAACCCCTGCCCAAGATTTTTTATAGAGGCACTACTGAATCCATAACTGGCACAAGTAGGAGTTACTTCATTTTCATAGTATTAGGAAGAACTTATTACTTGGTTGAGGACCAGTATCACTGCTACCACTACATAGATTTCCCTTTCTTTGGAGGAAAACTGAAATGTTTGGTTCTGCCACTGTTGTTGACCAAGGATAATCTGTGAAAACTTTGGTATAAGGCTTTCCTTGG